AAAAAAAAAAAAAAACAAAAGTAGTGTTCACATAAGTGAATGGGTCAATACAGAATATCCTACTGATTCACGAGCTTATTTGATGGAAACATAAACAGGAAGTATTAAACTACCAAAAATTTTCATATCGGATTCATGAAAGCTAGAGTTGTTTTGACACATTAGTCAGTTGCAGACATAAAACAAAATATACCTCGAGGCCGTGAAAATTTGTCGTACAATAATCTTTTTTAAACTTATAAACCAATGCACCACACAGTATGAGCCAAGTAGAATACAAAATCTATTTTACGACAAATATTAGCGATTCATTTTAAGATGTACCTGATGTATTGATGAGACAAATGAGCTGCAGCATCTAAAGCTTCATCAGTGTAGCGAAGCTTGTGGTGTATTTCATAGCGTTCCCTAAGCCCTTTAAGAATCTGAATGGTTTCGTCCACTGAGGGTTCAGGGACCTTCACAGGTTGGAATCTTCTTTCTAGAGCAGGATCCTTCTCGATGTGCTTTCGGTATTCATCAAGTGTGGTGGCCCCAATACACTAACAAAAGCATCATTGGTTATAAAAAGGATGGTAAATTAGGCAAAAATTAGCAAGGCTGAATATAAGCACACCCAACAACTGAGAGGGCACGAGAGTTCTATCCCGATGCTTGCAATATTTAACAATTAAACCAAGCATAGAAGAAAATTATGTATAGAATGATAAACTCTCCAGAAATTTTGTACCCAACTTTAAACAAACCATATAGCGAGGGCTGCACTTGTTCAATCTGAATTGTGCAGCTATTCTGCTATCAAATAATTGTGGATGCCAAATTATAGATCTTACGCATTTATCAAGTGTTTTATCTCACCTGTAGCTCACCCCTAGCTAAGGCAGGCTTCAAGATGTTAGCAGCATCAATTGCACCTTCAGCAGCTCCTGCTCCAATCAACGTGTGCACCTCATCAATGAATAGGATTATTTCATCACTTTGCTTAATCTCCTCCATTAACTTCTTCAATCTCTCCTCAAATTCACCTCGGTACTTTGTACCGGCAACAAGGAGACCCATATCCAGGGTTATAACCTGAAAAATAACCAAGCCAGAGTAACTTGATCAATATTCAACCACAATACACCACCGCAAAACATCTAAACTGTGCCAACCAATTTTGGATCACTTCTTCTGATGTCACCACAATGAACTAAGAAGATTAGAACTACAAAAGGCACTGCATATTTCCAATTCATGACATAAATCTTGTAACAGTTTGCAGCTTTTATTCTATTAAGGAATTTAGTAGTAACCTTTTTCCCCTCAATAGTTTCCGGAACATCTCCATTGGCTATTCTTTGAGCGAGGCCCTCGGCAATAGCCGTTTTACCAACACCAGGTTCTCCAATCAGGCAAGGATTATTTTTTGTGCGACGTCCTAAGATTTGAGTCACACGCTCAATTTGCTCCTGTCTTCCAACAACAGGGTCGAGTTTTCCCTGAAAGAAACAAATTAAAAACCAGTTTCTGTTATTCCACCTCACTTCACAGAAATTCAACTTCAGAAATAAGGAATTCCTTGAAATTATACCTCCTCAGCTAGCTTGGTCAAATTGGTGCCATATTCCTCAAGAGTGGGCATTTTGTTGCCCGAGGTCCCACCTCCAACACCAGCACCAACAGCCTCTGCACTCTCACCAACCATTCTAATAACCTATTTTTCCATAAATGAGTTAAAAAACACTTAGTTTCACATAATAATTGCCTAACAATTATACAGTACACAACGTAGAAATCCATTACTTGCCTGAGTTCGTATATTACTAGGATCAGCACCTAAATTCTCAAGGACACGAGCTGCCACACCTTCACCCTCACGAAGCAATCCCAGCAGCAAGTGCTCTGATCCAATGTAATTGTGACCTTAAAAAAAATTAAAGCAAGAGATATTAAGAAAAGTCATCTCTGATCAAACCAGACATCATACTTAAAATAATGGCTGTGAGACACCATTTTCACAAACAAAATTTTAATCTTTAATCAATCAATGTTTCAGAAAGTTCAATCATATTGTTTCCAGCATGCAGATTGGAACAGAAAACAACACTAACTACCTAAACACTGATCAAGAACCTAGTGAACAGTGATTCATGAAAAACCAGAAAACTGCCCAAAAACACACTACAAAGAAGACTGAAAAAACTAGTTACCAAGCTGGCGAGCCTCCTCAAGGGATAGTTCCAGAACACGCTTGGCTCGAGGAGTAAAGGGTATCTCAACAGCTACAAACCCACTACCCCTTCCGATTATTTTCTCCACCTCCACACGGGCATCCTTGAGGTTAATTCCCATGGACTTCAGCACCTTGGCAGCAATCCCTGTGCCCTCACCAATGAGCCCCAACAGAATCTGCTCAGTCCCAACAAAATTGTGCCCGAGCCTTCTTGCCTCCTCTTGTGCAAGCATAATCACCTTTATTGCTTTCTCCGTGAATCGCTCGAACATGGCACGTGGAGTAGCCAGGCGCGATTTCGTACCTCGTTTGGGGATATTGATTGCTGATGCCACTTTTGAAAACAGTGTCTCCCGTTTGTTGGAGGGCCCCAAGAAGTCTAAAGCATTTTCTCCACGCCATCCCACGAAGTTCCTTATCCTCACGGGAGCCGATTGAGGGCCGCAAAACGTATATGCTGCCTGTATTGATTTATTAGAGCCCCTGATTTTATTTCCACTATTTACGAAACCAACTGAGGAAGACAAGTTGGTTGATTGAAGTAATGCCTGTGCCATGTCTACCTGCAAGAGGCCAGTGAAAAAATTAATTACAATACTTACCGAATGGAGAGACTTAAGCATTTGTAGAGTTCAAATATTCAAGCAGGTAATGCATCGAAATGCTGAAAATGCCAACAGATAAAGCAAAAGTGAATCTTCTATTGAGAACAAGTCAAAATTGCTGACTGGAAACTGGGGTTCAGCACCCATTTTCAAAACACGGAAGCCAAAAGCTGAATGCCAAAAATGTTAGCTAAGACCAAATATCTGGAAGGTATTCAAG